GTTTCTCCTGAACTCACTCCTGGCCAGTCCCTCCTTACTGGCCAGCCAGCTTGATCGTTCTAAAGTGCAAATCAGATCTGTCCCTCCTCCTTCTCAAAGTTTCAGTTGCCTTTTTCGTTGCAGGTAGACTAAGATTCCAAGCCCACGTTCTGCCCTGTTGGGCCTGGTGTGGTCTGACCTCTGTCTCTTTTACTGTTGTTTATTAAAGTCCCCTCACCAGCTGGTGAGCTGCCTGAGGGCTGGCTCTTTCCGTGAACTCCAGCACCCAGTGCAGACCTGGCACGTAGAACCCAGTGCTTTTTTACTGTCTGCATCTACATCAAACAGATGTTCTTGGGGAATGGGAGTCAGGGGGCAGGCATGACATGAACCAAGGGGATAGATGTGTCCCTTGGAATTAACTCTTGTTTGTACCAGAAGACACCCCTGCCTCTATCTTCTCCTTTGAACTTTGGGGGGGACCTTGTGAGATGGATGAGGCAAGGAGGACTACTAGGAAAGCTAGCTTCTAATTATGACTTTAGAAGCTTAGAAAAGAACTCCAATAATAATCGCAGGTGCACACACTGCTTGTGGATAATTGAGGTGCAGCTCAACCCTGGTGGTCTGCTGACCATGATGCTGACCAGAGGGGCATTTCTAAAAGTGGGTCATTGTTTAACTAGCGTCATGGCTTTTGCCATATCCATGTGGCATTTCTGTGATTTTGTGGATTCCCCGTCATAGTGACAGCCAGGCTACAGCTAAGATCAGAGCCCAGAGAGGACTGAACACCCTCTGCAAACAGAGAATTCCGCCCGGCCTGCCACCCAAGGGGATGCCGTGTCTCGACTTTGGTCTTAAAGATTAAGCTTACCCATTGTTATGTTAAGTATAAAGTATACACTTAAGTATAAAGAAAATATAGTCTCCAGAGATTGAACTTTTTTAGGATGATTGGCTTAAACTAAATAAAAACTATCTATAGGGAGACTAAGAAAGGGGCCTTTTCACAGTGCTAAGCTGTGAGAGGACCTCTGCCTCAGCCTCTCTCTTTTTCAGAATTCATTTCCTTGTATCCCTACTTTCTTTCTGCGTCTGGTTTGCGACATGATTTTTTTGCTTATATCTTTCTTGGCTAGGTTAACTTGTTTTACTTAATTATTTTGGGAGGCATCTGTCCGTCTTCATTCTCCACTGAAGTTGTTATACTAAGAATGTGTTTTTGTACCAATTTTAATGTGCATGCATTTGGGATCTCCTGCAGCATTGGGTATAGGAGAGGTGTTAGGACTCTGGTGGTCTAGTGGTAACAAGCTGCGCTGCCAACCCAAAGGATTAGAGTTTGAATCTACCGGCGGCTCTTTGGGAGAAAGATGGGCAAACTCCTCCCCTGCAATTTACTGACTCTGAAAAGCCACTGGGGGTCTGCTGGGGGTCAAGTTCTGCCTCGATCGTACACAGCAACAACCACCTTACATAGCCAGCGTTTAAGCAAGGTGAGGTGACAAATCATGAACACGGAGCCAGCGTCACCTTGCGCGCCCCTCGCTAGGACAGACCTGAGGTGAGGAGGCCCCCACTCTCCGTGCAGACTTAGCACTTACACAATCTTACACGTGACTGCCTTCTGAAACCTTGTACTCTGGCCTCTCAGGTTAGAGACCAAGGTGCCTCTGTTCCAAGTCATGGTATCTTCAGTTGCTTCAGATGCATGTGGAAGTTGGGCAGCGAGTAAGAAAGATCAAAGAACTGGTGCCTTTGAGTGGCGGTGTTGATGAAGAACAGTGAACAGTGAACTTCCAGAAGAACAAAGAAATCCATTTTGGAAAAAAATAAAGGCAGAGTGATCCCTAGAAGCAAGGATGGGGAGGCTTGGTCTCACATGGGGGCCTGTTACCAGGAGGGTCAGTCCCTGGAGAAGGACACCAGGCTTGGAAGAGTAGAGGAGGGTCATCTAAAAAAAGGACAATATTACAAAAAGGTGGATCGACACAGTGACCACAAAACTGGGTACAAGCCCAGTAGGTATTGTGAGGCTGACAGAGGAGTAGGGTTGTGTTGTGTTGCAGACCGAGGGTCCCAAAGAATGGAATAATTTTGTAATTATTAATTATGAGACAAACAGCCAAGAATGAGATAGAGCAGAGAGCATAAAACACAGGGCCAGCAGTTCTCGACTGAAGACCCCAAGCCAAGCTTCACTGTATCTTTATTGAAAATTACTAGGAAGTAAATCACAAAGAGATTCAATGCAAATGAAGCCAAGTTCTTTCTATTGAAAACCTTCTGCTTGATTAAGGAGGGAGGGGTTCACAAATGCAAGAATTTGCTGTACCCTTAAGGATTGCCTTAGTGCCTCAGGGTGAACTCTGGCTTGTACCTCACCTCCCCCACATCCTGAAATAGCATTCAGATTATTACAGATATTTAGTATTGGCTTCCCATAGTGTTGTGTGCAGGGTTGCAAAGCACCAGAGCCTGGTGACAAACACAGCAGGAACAGGCACCTTGCTCGCCTCACTTGAGGCCTGACTCTGCCCCCGTCTAGTCTGCTAGCTGAAAATGAATGGGCTTCAGCAACTCACCTGGTCCCGTTCACGCTGGCCTGCTCTGTCCTTCACCAGTTCAGCCCCAGGTACAGTATCATCATCTCCTCCTTTCCTTCAATTACTCCCTCAAGTGTCTCTTAACCTCCAGCAAGTCTGAATCCTGGAGATTTGGTAAAGGCTTGCGCTTGGGGCACAGGGTTCAGGCCTCTCTGGGAGACCAAGCCGAGCAGGACCTGAGCTGTTCCTCCTGCCAATCCCTGTTGCTGCACACGGTGTCACAGATGAAGCCTGGTCCTTCTTGTCTACATCTTTCAGGAGAGGGAGCTGCCTCTTAAGATGCCAAGCGCAGGACTTCCATTTTCTACTTCTTTATTATATGAGACTGCCAGCAATTTCATCTTACTTGGATCCACAATCAATACACTTGGCACCAGCAGTCAGGAGATCGGGAGATGAGATGTATTGCACTGGAAAAGTCTGTAGTCGGGGCCCTCTCCAAATTATTATTATTTTCTTTATTTTATACTGGTTTATTTACAAAGTTTGAATACATTAACAAAAAAAAAACCCAAAAAACTACCAGGTTTGAACACATTATTTTTAAAACAGATCTTTCCCATTTCCTTCAACCCTCCCCATCTAATTATGCTACTAGCCATGCCCCCCACCACCCCAGCCATCTCACTCCTCTACTTCCATCCCTCCCCCCTTGGATCCTCATATGCTACAATAATGTCTTATACAATATTCGCATTTATGGGACTGAGTTAATTCACTTAGCATAATGCTCTCCAGTCCCTCCCAAGTTCGGTAATCATTTACAGAATCATTACTCCTGTGTGCTGTGTAGTATTCCATTGTGTGAATGTACCATAATTTCTCAATCCAGGCCATGGCCTTTTCATTCACTTGCTATACATCTGAGAGCTGGGCGATGGATAAGAATGACAGAAGAAGAATTGACACCTTTGAACTGTGGTTATTGGAGAAGAGTGCTGAATACCCCATGGACTGCCTAAAGAACAAACAGATCTGTCTTGGAGAAAGTGCCACCAGAGTGCTCCTTGGAGACACAGATGATAAAGCTTCGTCTAACATACTTTGGGCATGTTGCTAGGAGAGGGACATCATGCTTGGGATGGTGGAGGGATGGTGAGTAGAGGAAGACCATCAACAGTGTGTGTCAGAGATTCTGAGAATGGCACAGGACAGGACAGGGTTCAGATCTGTTGTTCACAGGGTTGCTGTGAGATGCATTTGAGCTGATGGCACTTAACAACAACAACTACAAATTTATTGTTGTATCCAAAGCATGCCCTCTCTCGGTCTAGACCAGGCTGGCTGGGTCAGGAGCGTGTCCTGTCTGAGTGGTGGCATCAGTGCCATCTCGTGGCCATTCTGATCGTCCTTTCTTCATGGACCTTTCTTTTCGGGAGCTTGGACCAAATTCACGTAGGCACCAAGCCACACTCGCTTCCTATTTCAGCAAGAAGCTGGGTTGTCCAATCTCCTTGCCCTCATAAAGATGGGTAATCCTTGTGTAAACACATAGACCTTCTCTGGGGAAGCTGGCCTTGTGCAGGCCAAGGAGCGGGAGCCCTTATGTTGTGGTTGTGGTTGTAGTTGTGTACCATTGAGTCGGTGCTGAGTCAGCTATGACCCTCCTTCAGAGGCAGTGTAATCGCAGGGGAGGAGACTGTCCAACCTTCTCCTGGGCACCAGCTGGTTGATTTGAACGGCTTGCCTTCGGGATTGCAGCACAGCTTCTTACCACGAGACCACCAGAGATCATGGAAAGGCCACATCTGTGTCCTTTGAATATGCTCAGACCTGTACCTGGATAAGCAAGGGACCACTTGGGTATCAGAGGATGGGGAAGGCCATTAACTCTAGGTTGTGAAAAAAACCAATCACGCAAGCCCTGGGATTTCACACTGCTGGCGTAAGAGCAGGACTGGAGCCCACAGGCCACAGCAGCACACTCTTCACAGTCACGTGCCCCTGCCGTATCATGCTCCTCTCCGTGTGGATGGTGTGGGGGTCAGCTCAGCCCCTTGGCCCGGCCCTGGTCCACCCCTTCTGTTCCCTCTTTGTGAACCTGCAGGTGAAATCGCCGGAGCTGGTGCAGCCAGTATCATGTCTGCCCTGACGGACAAGGCCATCGTGAAGAAGGAGCTCCTGTACGACGTGGCCGGACGGGACAGGTACCACGTCAATAACAAGCATGACGACAAGTACATGCCGCTCCCTCCCAGCAAAATCGTGCAGCGCGCGGAGGAGCTGGTGGGCCGCGAGATGCTCTACAAGCTGACCAGCGAGAACTGCGAGCACTTTGTCAACGAGCTGCGCTACGGGGTCGCCCGCAGTGACCAGGTGGGTCCCCGTCCTGGAACCACCCCACCCCCAGGAACCAGGGCTCCCCCATGACTCACAGGGGCAGGGCCTCCGCTGTGGGTTTGGTCAGGGTGGAGAGAGAGGGGAGGACAAGGCTAGGCGAGCAGAGACGGCCGGCCGGCTCCAGCTCTTCCGTCTCCATGAATGATACACGCCCCTCCCTTCTCCCCGAGTCCTTTCCTCTTCTGCCTTTCTCTTTGGGGGGCGGGCATCTGCAGTCCTGAGCGTGGACTAGGGCCCATGTTAGCAATAGAGAAAGAGATAAGCTTGTTCGTTCTCGCTCTCTCTTTTCCTCCCCCCCCCCCCCCCCCCCCCCCCCCCTCCTTTCTTCCCTCCCTCCCCCCCCCCCCCCCCTTTTTTGTAGTTCAACAGTGAGTGATTTTATTTCTTAAGTACAGAAGACACATTTATGCAACCAGAGTCGAGGCTGTGGGTGATTCGTGCTTCCAGCTGGGGGAAGGACTCTCTTTGTCTTACACTACCGAGCCAGTCAGTGAATTTGGCTCTCAGTCAGGATCAAACGGATTCTAGTATCCTTCTCCTTTCTGCTCCTCTCAAGATGCTTTTGAACAGCAACATCTTTCTTAATGAAATGGTAGAGGTCCCCAGGAAGATCTGGGCACGTGCTGTGGACTTAAGGATTCTCAAGATTTCATTGCCTGTCGCTAAAGGCACTTGTGCAATGCCGTGTGACTCTCTGAAGATCACACCCATTTGGGAAGGAGTCAGGCCCGTGGCTGATTTGTAGATCTCCTTCAGGCCGTCAGGCACCAGCTTTAGCCAGATGGGGACGCTCTGGCGATGAGGCAGAGCTGACTGGGACCAGCGCTTCCCGGAAGCATGCAAGCGACACATGGTGACGGCAGTCAGGCAATGAAAAAAGGAAAGCTTGTTGATTCTTAGAGCTTGATGTTCTGAAAGCAAAATCATGCCCTTGGCTGGTGGCAATGCTGAGTTGGACCAACCCTTGGCACAGATACACGTCTCTGGACCCTCTGTCCAGCTGGGAGTCACCGCGGATCAGTGAGCTGCCTCATGTAAGCAGAGCAGGAGTGTCAGCCCGAGGATGGGTGGTGGTTGTTGTGTGCCACCAACCCAGTGCTGAGCCTCCGTCGGGTTTTCAGGGGCAGCAAATCACATGGGAGGGGATTGCCCAGCCTCCCGAGGAGCAGCTGGTGCATTTGAACCATGTACTTTTGGGACTGCAGTACAATTTCTTACCATTAAGCCACCTTATCATGCTCATAGAACCCACCTTCCTCTATAGAGATGCCAGCAAGGGTCAATCCAGGAGACCCTGTGTCTTGTGAATAGTTAGATTTGTGTTAATTTATTTAGTATTGATTTCCTCTTCATTGAATTTCTTTTTCCCTTTGTTGTTGTTGTTATGTGCCATCAAATCACCTGTGACCTATAGTTACCCTATGTACAAGTGCTCTAGTCTGAACCAGTCTCACTGTCTTCAGCATACCTACCCCATTACCCCAGTCACTGAGTCAATCCGTCTTATCCAGGGTCTTCCTCTCTTGCGCTGTCCCTCCTCCCTTCCAAGCATGATGGCCTTCTACAGGGTCTGGTTCCTCCTGGCATTATGCCCAAAATATGTGAGACAGAGTTTCAAAATCCTTGGCTCCCAGGAGCAGCGTGGTTTCACCCTCTCCAGGATAGGTCAGTCTGTTCTCTTGGCAGTCCATTGTTGTTGTTGATTGCCTTCGAATTGAGCACAACTCATAGCGACTCTACAGACAAAAGACCTTTCTATAGCCAGCGTCATTTCTCCACAGCATGTTCAGTACTCTTCTCCGGTACCACAGTAACAGCTTTCCTTCCCATTCTCTCTCTCTCTTCCCTACTGTCTGGAGGGAAGGAGGGGGAGGAGGCACAAGAACTTTGCTAAGTCAACAAGGTTATGCCAGTCAGGAAGTTTATATTCGCAAAGTGGTGTTTCTTCCTTGGTTGCTTGGTGCTTAAGAGCACGAGCTTCTGGAGCCAGGCCTGGGCTGCAGCTGAGCTCTATCTCTTGCTGTGTTACTTTAGGGCTACTCTAAACTCTTTAAATATTTGTAAAAGATCAATGATAATATTGTCCTTGGAGAGCTATTGTTTGAATTAAATACAAAGCCAAGTATAATGAAATGTGCAAAGAGCTAGAGTTGGGAAATCAAAAGGTTCAAACTCAGCATTTCTTAAGATGAAGGAACTGGAAAACAAATTCAAGCCTCCAGTTGCAATACTTAAGGATACTATGGGCAGAATATGGAATGATCCAAGAAGGTTAAAAAAAAAAAAGAAATAAGTACACAGAATCACAGTACCACAAAGAACTGACCGACAGAGAAGTATTTCGTGAAGCAATTTATGTTCAAGAGGTAATGGTGATGGAAGAGGAAGTCCAAGCTGCTCCGAAGGAATTGGCAAAAAACAAGGCTCCAAGAATTGATAGCATGAATACCAATTGACATATTGTAACAAATAGATGCAGCCCTGAAGGGCTCAGAAGTCTTTGCCAAGAAATCTGGAGGACAATCACCTGGCCAATTTACTGGAAGAAATCCACATGTATTTCCATTCCAAAAAAAGAGGTAATCCAACAGAGTGTGGAAATTACTAAATGATAGCACTAATATCAAACACAAGCAAAATCTTGCTGAAGATTACCCAGATGCAGCTGGAACAGTTCATCAACAGAGAACTACCAGAAATGCAAACTGGGTTTAAAAGAGGCCAGGGCACAAGGACCATCATTGCCAAGGTCAGAAGGATGTTGGTCATGCCAGAGGAATGTCTATCTATGTTTCATTGACTATGCAAAGGCATTTGACTGTGTGGATCACAACAAATTGTGGCTAACTTTGAGAAGAATGGGAATCCCAGAACACCTGATTGTGCTTATGCGAAATCTATACTTGGACCAGAAGGCAGTCATCAGAACAGAGCAAGGAAACACGACATGGTTCAAAATCAGGAAAGAAATGTGTTAGGGATGTATCCTGTCTCCATACCTTTTCAATCTGTATGCAGAACAGAGCATTTGAGAGGCTGGACTTTATGAGAAGGTATGTAGCATCAGGATTGGAGGAAGACTCATCAATAACCTGTGCTATGCAGATGACACAACCTTACTTGCTGAAACGGAAGAGAACATGAAAGCTTTGCTACAAGAGGGTCAAGGACTGTATTTTGCAATAAGAATTGAAGCTCACCATTAAGAAAACAAAGCTTCTCACCACTGAGCCAACTGGCAGCATCATGATAGAAAAGAGACTGAGATTGTTAACGATTTCCGCTTGCTCAGTTCCACAATCAACACTCTTGGCACCAGCAGTCAGGAAATGAAAAGAAAAATTGCATTAAGAAAGTCTGCTGTTATGGGCTCTTGAGAGTCAGGAAGTGTGAGGACAGCACAGGATAGAACAAAGTTCAGGTCTTTTGTTCATAGGGTTGCTACAAGTCATATTCGACTCGAAGGTACCTAACAACAACAAAAACAACAACAACAACAATAATTAAGTTCTAGTTCCTTGCCGCACACAGGATTTTAGAGAGGATAATGGAAGTCCTTTCATTAATGTAATGCTTTTGTAATAATTAATTGGGATTATTAAAATAACTATCCACCTAAAAAAATAAAAATAAAATCAAATCTGTTGTCAGGGATCTCTCCAGAGTGCTGCAGAGCAAGGATGTCAGTATAGAAACTAAGGTGTGCCTGATTCAGGTCATGGTCTTTGCAATTACTTGTTAGTCATCAGAGAGCTGGACAATAACTAAGATGACAGAATAAGAATCAATGCCTTTAAGTTGTAGTGTTGGAGAAGAGTATTGAACATAACATGGACTGCTATAAGAATTAACAGGTCATCTTAGTTAAAACCAAGCTGCTCCTTAGAGGCAAAAATTTTGAGACTCTGTCTCGCATACTTTGGACATGTAACCAGGAGGAACAAGTCTTTGGAGAAGGTCATCATGCTTGGAAGAGTCAGGAGCTCAGGAGAGGAAGACCCTGGATGTGATGTATTGGTACAATAACTGGGGGGATGGGGGAGGTGTATCATAAATAGTGAGGTTGGCTCAGGATAGAGCAGGGTTCAGAGCTATTGTGAGTAGGATCACTAAGAGTCTTTGTTGACTCAACGGTACATAACATTTATGCTTAGTACAATGTTGATTCAGAAAGTAAATTTAGTACATTGTATTGCTGGTGGCCTAGTGGGTAAGGAGTTGTGCTACCGACTCAAAGGCACACAGTTCAAATCCACCAGCTGCTCCACTGAAGAAAGATGAACAGTCTACTCCTATAAACTTTACAGCCTCTGAAAACCCACTGGAGGGTCAGCGCTTGGTCCATGATGCTACATAACAACAGCAAGTAACAGACTTTCTCAGATAGATCTCCATCTTAATTTTGGCCTGCTTCACCATTGCCACCAACGTTATTTACTAATTAATTATTTGTGGTTTTTTTTAAATCTGCTTTGCTACAAAGTTAAGGTCTTATCAGTGCATTGTAGGTTTTTATAGAGAAATGAAACAAAAGGTAGTCTATAAGATGACTCTTCTTAGCAAAAGATAAAGCTGAAATGTTTACTGTGTCAATGAAATGACAATGAAAATGACCCTGGAATGATTCTGGAGGAGATGGACTTTTTTATTTTTTTTTAAGTTTCTTTTACAGTCTAGTGAGGATGTTGAAAAAACTTCCTGAAATATCTACTTGACCTGTTCGGAAGATCAGAGAAACTCCTGAACTTTTTTTAAAAAATTTTTTATTTTATTTTATTATTTTTTGTGTGTGTATGTACCGTCAAATCACATCTGACTGGTACAGGAGGAGATTGTTCCTCCTTCTCCAGCAGAACATCTGGTGGATTTGAACCATGCACCTCTGGGATTGCAGTACACCTTCTTGCCACTAGGCCACCAGAGCTCGCAAAACTCCTGGACTTTTCAGATGACCCCTGGACTTACTCAGCTAACAC